TAGATTATTTTAATTTACGCATTACATATTTGTTGTTTTAACAGGGCCGATTTCAAATTAATTTTACATTTTGATGGTTTTTTAATTATTTGTTCGAGCACAATGCTTACTAACGCTTTAATTAATAAGCAAGATTGCAATTGAATGTTGCAATCTTGTTTATTAATTAAAATGCAGACTAATTCCCTTCTGCTTTATTGAAGTCGTTCATAAATTCTAGTCTAATTGATTCTTTGCAATTTCCATTTTATAGAGCTACAATGCTTTCATTATTTAAATCCAATTAGTATTACTCTATAGTATATACGTTGACATTGATCCAAACGAGGGTAAGGTTTCAAATTAGTGTCGTTAGTTATAGGCGACATTTAGGTAATCTTTTGGGCTTGCACTCAAACTGTCATGGCTTCTGTTAATACGACGGACCCTTCGCTGTCGTTAGACTAATTTAGTAGTTTAATGAGCCATGCTCTAAATATACCTAACGTCGAAGAAGAAGGGTAATTAAGTACAGAGTGGAGCAGCGTTTAACTGTTTACCTACTGTTTAAATAATTACTTTCTCAGCTTTAGTACATTGGTATAGCGTTTAGTAAATTGTCCGTATTTAAGTTCAAGAGTGGCCAATTTATAAGTCTAATTGATGGTTGTAATATTATAATTAGTTGTATGTTATTGTTACTAAATTAACTAAGACTTTACTGATTGCTTAAACATATGCCAGAATAATAAGTTCGTTGCAAAAACGGTCACTTTTAATTAAAGAATAGTCTTCTCTTTTTAAAACATGACATTTCAAATATACGGTTGAATGAGAAGGAATTTCTTGGTATCAAGTTAAGCTCCAATATTCTAGATGGAACTGTAAAGGTGTGACGATATGAGAGTGCTAACGCTCGCCCGAACAGGGTCTATCAGGAATATTTGCGAGACAGTTGCGAAAACGTATTCGTAACGTTATCGAGAAATTTTGTATGGGATTTGTTGTTGTACGTTACTGTAAAATCTAATACAAATTATGTCGATGACGAAAAGTTTCTCACGAATATTCCTGATAACTCCCGGTTAATGAGAATGGCGGGATTCGAAAAGAAAAACGTCACGTGTAACATCTTGATATATCGCTACGTCATTGCTTCCATTTACATAATGTGCTTATAAGTGTACGATATGAAATATGCTAACGTGCTCCAGTAATGCTAATGTAATACTTTTTTATGCTATGATTTTTTTTGCTCCGTATTTTTATCCATTTACTTGTGCTGACGTAACTGCTACATATACAATAATGCAATACTAATTGATTCCTTCCAAAACAATTCTGAGAAGTAGAGGAAAACCAATTACTTCTTTAAGAACTATCCAAAAACGACTTTTGTCAACTTGTATGAAAGGGAGCACAAAAATATTACTTTAAGTAGTACCTTAGATAAAAAAATTGAGATCGATTATAGGGTTCGGCTAAGTAAACAAGCAATCTCCATAATGCATCATACGGAAGCAAAATAATGAGGAACTCGTGACTCTAGCGTTCTATCCATAATCAGTTTGTGATGGAAAAAAATAAGCTGATGACGTCATCGTGTTCAAGGATTAGAAGGTAAAGGTTTTGTCGATGAGATGTAACGTTGCCAAGACTGGTTAATGTACAGACGCTCTTATCGTAATGATGCGTGAAGCGTAAATAGAAAAAGCTTCATACGAAATGAAAGTGCAAAATAATATTGTATGAGCGAGCGACTGACGCCGCTTGGTGTTATATTAGATTTGTACTGACCTTTAAAAATCACGGAGATACAGGGTTTCCTTCTTGAGGATTACGTCTTGGACGTAATTGTAAACACCATCGATTTCTACATCATCAAGAATTAATTGATTTATTCAGATTTTTTTACGACTGAAATAATGATCAATCTCGATCCAGTATTTCTTATCCGATCCATTTTGAACACAATATTATAACAATATTTTCTGATTTAACTGATAGATTTCTACCACTGGTCAATAGGCGATCAACCATATTTTTATTTCCTAATATAAAGTAATTAAAAATCTCGAAGATTGATAATTAATTTGTTTACAAATGGATTACACAAACAGTTATTTACTCTTTGAAATCTTACTAATGTTATTAATACGAAAGTTTATAGAGCTGGATGGGTAGATTGATGGTTGGTAGATTTTGTAGCCTAAACGGCTGAACAGATCTTGCTGAAATATGGCATAGAAGTAGAGGATAGTCTGGAAGAACACATATGCTACTTACTTTAGCTTTTTTAAATTACACGCGGGCGGAGTGGCGTTTAATAAACTGATAATAAAATTATCGGTTTTTTACAATATAAGTAATCCAATAAATGTAACATAAATTGAATCCAGGTGAGTGGAGGGAGCAAGTTTGAGCGCTAAACGTTGCTAAGATAACTTGGAATTATTCCAGTGAAAGCAGAAAGTTTTAATTGATGATACTCGAAGAGGATATTAGGAGGCTGAGTGGAAAGGTGGGCTTAGTCCGGGGAGCTGTTTGATACATTAAGCTCTCTTACCTTTGGATGCTTGAAAATGTTCTCTACAATATTGTTGATCTACGACTTTATTATAATAACTAGAAACTCATGTTAGAAGATTGACCAACCTAAATTTTAATCCTCGATCAAACCGTTTTAGTTTCACAACTTAATACTGTGTGTAGATATGAGGATATCCTCAGATTTAATGAGTATGTGTTTGGATGATGTGTTTAGCAATAAACTAACGATACAAGTGCAAAAAGTTTTATATGATTTTATAACTTTTCTACAGACTAGCTGTTGCTCGCGACTTTGTTCACGTCAAATTTAAAAATATTACTTATGATACTTAGCGATAACGTAGCTTTCTCATGATGATTTTTTTAAATCGACCCAGTATCTTTTGAGTTATTTCAATAGATACAAAAATACAAATCTTTCCTCTTTATAATATTAGTGTAGAAAAAAGAGATGTCAATTTTTTTTAAATACATTAAAATAAAAATCTGGTATAAAATGTCTTGTAAGTCAGTAGAAAACTATGTAATTGCAACCGCAGCCAGTAACTATATCAATTAGGAAGAAAATTAAGAACGAAATAAAATTTAACGAGCTCGGAGGAGCATCGCTATAGTTGCCATCCCTTGCCTTGCCAACAAAAGTAATGGCGTGCAAGTTAACGACTGTTCGTAGTTCAGGTGACACTCGGAAGCCTTTTAGCAAAGTTCCCGCACCATTCAATAACTGACGATCAATTAAAACTTGGCGTCCGCACCGACTTATGAGCACTTTTGCCTAGAATTAATTTTAACTCTTGGCTTGATTAAAATTTGCAATCAATGGTGAGAATTATTACGGATAACGTTTTTTATTTTTAGTTTTTTAGTAGTTTTTACTACGAAATTTGTGAAATCGTCTTAAGGTTTTGATTGTTTTAAATGGACAATAGATTTTATTATTTCACTGTTTAGAGTAAACATGTTTGAATTTTTAGGAAAGTTCAGAAAGCATATAAAAAGGTACAGTATTATTACTAGTACGTACGTTCCGTCTTACCAGATTAATACGTTTATCTTTCTTCTTACTGATATTATAAATTCGAAAGTTTAGTTGTATGGAAGAATGTTGTTAAAGTTTGGAGCCAAAACTGCTGGACCGATTTCGATGAAATTCGGCAAAGATGAAGAGGATAGTCTGGAAGAACACATATGCTACATACTTATCTTTATTTTTTTAATTCACGCGGACGGAGTCGCTAGCGAAAAGTTGTAATCTAATAAAAATATTAACATTTAAGGATTCTGAAGATGGTTTAAAGATTAACAAAGTTGTAGAAAATTTGAAACGGTTTTAACAAATAAACATCTATTTGAAATAACTAGGCCGGTGTTTTGTCTTTAAGGTAATTAAAACAGTACGTAACACAGTCACTTTAATTATGTCTATTAGAATTACAAATATTACTGATGTATGTACGAGTACATATTGTGATACATGAAATTCCTTGAATCAAATTAGTGCTAGCAAGACTCGTTTATTGTCTAATACTCGTAATTATAAGGAATTCTAAACGATCAGTTTTATCTGACAGTGTTATCTGAACATTCCGAACCTTCAGATAAATCTAACAAAACTGGAACAGTTCAGATCTCAGTTTTATCTGCACGTTATATGAAACTGAGTGTGTGTATTGTGCTTTATATGTAACTGTTAAACCGGCGAATATATTTACTTAGTAGAAAAAATCTTAACTACAATATTTGTATTAAAATACATAGAATTAACAACGTAAATGTGGTAATATTTCAAATTGTTTTGAACTGATAATTCAAAGAAAACAAGCAACGTAGTAAATTAACAAAGAGCTTTACGATATTTCATTAAAGCCGCATAATGAAATAAAGTGAGGCCTTCATTACTAAACATATTTTACTCGTAAACCTTTATTAATCCAATGTTAAGTCAATTAGGCGTCGAGTCCCTTATTAAAGGCGGATATACCGGATACATGCGGATATAAGTGCTCCGGGGCGCGTCGGGTCGGAAACTAAAATCGGTGCGCGGTCGCCCGGGGCCTAATGGGCCCCGTAACGAGGGGCCTCGAGAGCCCTTGAGATCGCACCGACTCAGGGCTGCCAACCTAGAGCATTCTTCGATACAACGCTTTTTACTCTAATAGGCTTGGATAAATAGAAACTCGTTAACTCTTTCTTTATTATCTTAAATTTAAATTTACTATAATGTCTATTTCAAGGAAGTTTTGGTCTCACTTGTTATTTTATGAGCGAAAAAGAATGTTGGAAAATTAAATTGAATTGGCAAAATATTGTATTTATTGAATATTTATGGTTTTATACCTTTATCAATGTTTTCAATTACATTTGTTAAAGAGAATTTCCTTGTAACTTTCTTGTCCAAACAGGGGACTGTTCAATAATGTTTACCCTGAATAATTAAATTTCGATTGATTGATAAATAATTTTGTCGACAGTTACGCGGCGGAGCGAAATTAAACAAGAGGTAAGCTTTATAGCTCTTACAAACGGACAAGGAAATATAACCGGACTAATGGAAATCGGCAATAACGAAACGATGAACGTAGGAAAGAAAAAACCATTAAACATTTTCAATAAAGGGCGGTCGATGTCATTTCTTTTGGCTATTAATTCAGCTATTGTGAGTGACACGGGCCGATCGGGTGCGGATTCAATCAATTGACCCTGGCACTAGCTTGGCTTGAAAAGTGAGGGTCCAACGGAGCCGGATCATTCGTTACGAGTAACATCATTACCGAACGTATTGTGTCTAATGGAAAACCCGTTCGATGTACGCAGATGGATTTAATGGGATTATACGTTAATGGTTCTTTTAATATCGGAACGAATCGAAAGAGACAAAGGAACGTTTTTCAGAACAAAATATTGTCATATATAAATTATAACAAAAATGTTAATAAGTTAAAATATTGTCAGTTACCAAAAATAAAGTTTTCTAATTTCTATAGTGAAAGTGTCGGACTAATAATGATAAAACTATCTTTTGCTCCCGACTTTGTATGCGTCGAATTAATAAATGAACTTAGTAAGTAGCTCATATCATTTTCTAGACTGTTCTAAATATGTGTTAAATTTCATCGAGATCATTTGCCGTTTTGGAGATACGTGTTAACAAACAAACATCCATCCAATCTTTTGCTTTTTTATTATTAGTATGAAGTATTAAAATCAACTTATTAAAACTTTCGCGAGACATTAATAATATAGTAGTAGACACGTAAATAATATAGTATAACATATAAATAATAAAGTATTAAAATCCACTTAAAAATGTTTTACGTATGAAAATAATTCTGTAGAATGTAAATATGTACTCATTCATAGCATAGAAGCGATTCTTTTATGTAAACATTTAATTCTCATAAATGGAGGACTAAGGGCCTGTCCCACTAAATTGTAAATTGTCTGATAACAATCCAACGTGAAAAATGTGTGACGGAAATGTCGGATTTTGTTACCTTATCTGACAGTGACGTCATTTTTAACCTATCATCCAGTGGTGGGACAGTCCCTAAAGGGAGCTGTAATACCAGAGATAAAATAATGTTTTAATTTATCGCTAAACCCTCGTGTATTGCGTAACCGATGCTCAAAACGATTTGTACGAAATGTCCTCATGCACAAGGTCACCGACCCACATTGTGACAGGAAGATCTCACTTACCTCGTTGAATCATGAATTTATTTAATCAATTTATACACCAATCAGACCAATGAAATGTATTTTTGGCAGCTGTGAGTTGGCTCTTAATCTGATAGAAGAAATACCGCTTTTGACTTAATCAGAATTAAGATACTTCGTGTTAAGTTGGGAGTAGTAAAACGATAGCTTGCTTAGCACAGACTGTTTATTCAACCAGCTGTCATATTGACGACGGGTGCAGCCGCCAGTTCGGAAAAAATACACGACACTTTGTAATTATTGTGGCTGTCTTGGTTCTTCTAAAGACGATGTAATTTAGTTGTACTTAGAAATCAACATTTACTGTTAAAGAGTGACAATTGAAGCTTCAATAACATTGTATGCTAGACGTCAATGTTTTTATCCGTTTAACTACAAATGCCTAAGAATTAAAACCCGTTTATCTTGTCGTTTTTGTTACTATGTTGAAATAATATGCATAAATATAATTCTTTAGTTCGCATTTTATCTATGGCAGATATTTTTTGCGATTTAACGACAGCATCATAAAAGAAATAAAAAGTTGTTCTGGTTGTTACTAGGAAAGCATAATATGGTTGCACTTGAAGTTACAGGTTAGTGGACGATGGCCAGCACCGTTGTGGTTACACTGGTCTACTGCTCTACTTTGGTAGCATTTTACTGTACTATAATATTGTGGTGTATTTTGTTTTATAGGCATATGGTGAAATAAAACGATTTTGTTGCTATGCATTTTATTAAGCAACAACACATTACCTGCTAAAGAATAATGATTAAATAGTTTTGGAAATAAATTTTTACCTTATCCCTTATCTAATAAGGGTTCAGATTTTTTTATAAGTGCCGCAAAGCAAATTCAATACACTTTTTATGTTTACCGCGAAGTCATGTTCATTCAATGTATTACAAAGGGTTGGGTTAATACGAGGAGTATTTTCCAGTCATGTCTTTTGTTCATGTCACTCAACCTCGTTGTTATTCTAAAAATAATAAACTTGATGTTCCCGACCTTTTCCTTTTTTCCCTAAGGACTATCGTACACAAAATTTCAAAAGCTAACGATTTTAGTTGCTAGACTATTTATACAATTCGATGTCACGGAAGTTTGTACACTATTTCATTAAGATTATCGTAAGAACCGCTGCTATTTTGAAGGTTTCGGAAAAAATCTTTACAGTTGCAATATTAATACAGCTACATAGTCGTCAAGCCTATACAAAGAATAGAAATATCGCATCGTCAATTCAACGCGCGCCACGCTATATACTCTATTGAAGATTGCATGGGTTTTATAGTTTTACCTTGCCTTGTGTACAAAAGGCCTAAAACTTGTTCACGATCGACGCATCATTTTTAACGTCCTTAAAAAAATAATGACAGCAAATTGATCATTTAAACAGAAGCATTGTATAATTTTATAGGGGATCAATAATTGCTTGCAGTGCAATTTAAGTCGCATATCAAGTTTGTAATTTTGAATTGGCACGTTGGGAAACAGAGCGAGAATTCTATTCTTTAAAGTGGCGTCCTTTACTATCGAAATTAGATAATTTTTTTTTTAATAACAAGGTGACAAACGAGCAAGCGGCCACCTGAATCTACCGAAAGGAAAGCGACCGCTGCCCATAAACATCGCAATTGCAGATGCGTTGCCTACCCTTAATTGACTGAGGAGGAGACGCACATAAAGAGGACATTTCCCCTTCCTATGCGACTTCTCCACCATCAAATCCACTTTTCCTTCCCATTCTTTCCACTTAAGAAAAGGGTGAAAAGTGAAAGGGACTAAAATTAGGCCTCCGGCACCACATTCATCAGACGAAACGCGGAATTGCTCCCACTTGACGCCTGTTTTCTGTGTAGTTGTGGTATTACACCGGGCGAGCCGACCCATTTGTGCGAAGATGTTAAAGCGGGCTCTACCACTGTTACCTGTCTGTTTCTTCGTTTCCCGTCAATGAAGTTGTCAACTGCACTGTCTTAATACCTGCATAGCAAAAATATATCTATCTCTTTAATTTTGCTTAATGAACAAAGATAAAGAGAGGGATGACATACTGTAAATGTGTTAATTAAAAATCATCAGGAGCAATGTGACAGAGAGCATTCCCACAGAACCCAGCAGTATAATTCGTATTCTATCCGATGTGCCAATTTAGATACCGTATTTAATGGAATATAAAGATAATAGTTGATGTTTTGTGAAAGGAAGGTCTTATATACACGATACCAATGTAACCGGAACACATCACGATTACTTGATGGTCAGGCTTTTTATGAATATGCACGATTCAGAGATGACAGCATCTAATTACTGTGAAGACGTGATTTGATTAACTTAGTTCTTTGAGTTAGTTATACGAGTATGTCGTGCTATAGAACTCTCGAGTTATTAGTATTTGATTTGAGGATTCTATGTTAAAGATATTTTTAGTCTTAATTGTGTGTAATGGTTATAAATTATCGTAAATAAACAAAAGTGAGTAGCCAATATGTTTTTCCAGACTATTCTCTACGTCTATGCCAAATTTCATCGAAATTCGTTCAGCCGTTTCGGCTACAAAATCTAATAAACATTCATCCATCCATCTAAACTTTCGCATTTATAATATTAGTAGGATTATGGGGTTGTATAAAATATTTATTAATGGATGAACGCAAAATTAAATACATGTTAACACCTAGTTTAGATAAAAAAAAAAAATCAATCTTGGCAAATAATTAAAATCTTCTGAAATTCGTTTTGTTACATTTGTAGAACCTTGGTATTTAGCGTATAGATAATGAACCTTGACTTTTTAATTGTGTATTAGTTGTTTAAAGTTGCATCAAGAATCATCTTAGTAGTTTTCCACAAACCTGTTTTTTATTATTTAAAAAATGCAATATATTCAAAAAAAAGTGTAACGACATCTAGCGAGTACGTTTGCCGTGACCATTAGAAACTGACCTCCATTTAGTCATCATGAACCTAACAAAGGTCGAGTTATAAATACGTTTAGAACGCAGGTTGCACCAGTGAAAGTGATTTGTTCTAATACTGTAACTAAAGACGGTAAACTTTGTATGATATATGTCAGTATAGAATTACAGAAAAGTTGGTTGAGATATAAAGAGAAGAAAGTTTGTCTACAAAAATAAAACTAATGCACATCACTTCTTAATGTCCATGACTAGTATTTTACTTTTGAGTTGAATATACGATTTTTAAATCCTTGGTAAAAATAAGTTCAGAAGTATAAAATTTTCTATCAGAAATAAAACCGCTAAAAAGCAAAATGTACACTGAAATATGTAAAGGAGAATTTTGTTTTTATTATACGAGTATGTCGTGTTGTAGAACTCGAGAGTTCTAAGTATTTGGTTTGAGGATTCTATGCTTTTATCAGATCAGAGATGTTTTTGTTGGTACGCTGTAACGGTTTTGTTTAAGATAAATGTAAAAAAATGTAGCATAAGAATAAGAACTTGCAGTATAAATATATTGTTATCATTGATGTATATATTTAAAAATGAAATAAAAAAAAACAATCCAATCAGCATAGTACCCAAAAATTTATCACAATGTTAAACTGTTCATGTAATATGAATTGACGCAATAAATTTAACGGGGTTTTATAGCTGCCCTTTCAGAATACAAGATCAAATTCATGAAATGGCCGTGCGTCGTGAAATAAAATGGATAAAGGTGGGTCCGCATCGTGAATAGAATTTACGGCGTCGGATCAACAATTTATACGCAACGTTTAATGTTTCACGCTGCACCGAAAAATTCCTTTAAAAGTAAGAAAGACAGTAGCT